ATTGCAAAACACAAAAAGAGATAATTGGCTTCAACGTGGCCGAATCTTGATGGTATGTGTGACTGCAGAATTAAATAGCACAACTTCCTTTGTATTTGCCGGAACAGAACAAAACGAAGCCTCGTGAAGAAGGTTGTTGCCTGCAGGAAAAAAGCACAGGAGATACTTTATATTTGCGAAAACAGAGAGGTGGAGAAGAGGAGTCGAGAAGTTTTTTTCTGGATTTTATTCAACACTTCTAAATCAACAATCTGTTTACAGTATATATTATGGATTAGATTACAACTCTAAATCTATCCAAATAACTTAGAAACTATCTACTAACTGTATTCTACTGCTTAATTAGAATTCTACTAACTATACAATCCTTTTTGGACTGATTACCAACTCACATTCTCCCCCTTAATCTGGACCAAGATTCAAATCCTACTCTAGAAGCTCGCCGCATCTCGATGAACTTCACCTTGTAGTCCTTCGTGAGAATATCGCTCGCTGCTCGCTCGTTGCTCGACGCAAACTCCACTTTAATCTGTCCTCGCTCAACACATCACGAATGATTGAAAACGTGTGTCGATATCTTGTTCTTCCATAGAAACTGGATTCTTCATAAGGCAATGCGGATTTGTTGTCCACAAAGGTGCTGACAGGCTTGGGCTCACTCCCAATCACTCGCTGGATTAACTCCTCATCCACAACCTTGGCACGCGTGCCTGCCAGTTGCCGCCATAAATTGAGACCTCGCAGGATGATAATTGCCATGGATGTCTTCTGCCGTTCTGTGGTCAATGTTGACCAAACTGTCACCTAGATAAAGTGCCCATGCCGCTGTGCTGCCATCATCACATCTCCGCACAAGTTCTCTGTCAGTTGATCCACAACTCTTCATTGGCCTCGAGCCTCGTTTGTACACCAATCGTAAGGGACATATACCCTTCACGTAGCTTCAAAATATGCTTGACAACCTGTGCTATGCAAAACTGTAGGTGTGCTCCATGCTACCTATTCACAATCCCCCACGGCTATATGTGATATCGGCGTCAAGCGGCTGAGTTAGATACCTCAAGAATCCGATAAGTCCGTCTATTACTCCGTCACGGTCACGGGTCCTTCATAATCCTTATATCCAAGCTTTGCTTTGTTTCCATAGATATTGCGTCGGCGTTGCAAATCCATCATGCCGAACTGGACCCAAAACCTTCTGGCATTAGGTCGCTGCCTAAGTGCATAAATCATCTCGCTGTATCCAACCTCGATGCCAGATAACAGGAAAGCTTAAAACCAACGGGTCACTCATCGTCCGACACTCTTCATCATTTGTTGCATTTTGAACATACTTTATCTTCAATTCGCCCGAGCCGCGATATACGATCAAGTTCACTACGTACAACAAAATGAGTGTATCCTCTGTTATCCTTGTGGTTATACGCACTGCCCTGATGTGCATCTTGCAAATCGATGCCCCTTCATGCACTTGTCGAGGCGCGTGTTCCATGGCCCGAGGTGCTGCGTTAGACCGTATGATGCCTTGCGACCTTGTAGACCGTTGTGCTCTTGATTCTTCACAAACGGACCCTTCAGGTTGAACTCATGAAACTTCTTTCCTGGAGATCACCATTTAGGAATGCCGACTTCACGAATCAACATGGTGCACCTCCCACCCGTTCTGCTGCATGATGTATGGAGCGAGGATAATTCTGATTAGGGTAATCAACCTTGCACGTCGGGGTGAGTGCAAACACCTCATCGAAGTCCACGCCTTGCTGCTGGACGTATTCCTTTTGCTACAAGTCTTGCTTTGTGCTTGGAGGATGTTGCCATTTCATTGGTCCTTCTTCAGTTTGTATACCCATTTGAGACAATGGTTGAACTCCGCCGGGAACTCGTTGATATCCAAGTCTTGTTCTTCTCGGATGGCCTCTATTTCCTTCTCCATTGGCAGTCCGCGATTCTCGATCGTGTTGCAGCCCAATGTAGTTTGCAGGTTCTCGAGATCAAGGAACAACTCCTCTGCAGTGGGTCAATGCACCTCCGTCTCCGCCATAATGTTCTTGTCCGCAAGACGATAGCGCTTAGCAGGAGTATGTTGCAGCTTCAGCGGTGTTCCGAACGCATCAACAGGTGTAGGTTCGCTTGCTCTCAATGCAGCAGTTCTGGACCAGTGAGAAACGGCCCCTGGTTCGCGCTTGCAAGACAGTGGAGTTGCTGCTGTCCAGACTGCAGCGTCCAAGACTCCTTGCGGACGATGGCCAGCGTCTATATGACGTTGTCGGGCTGCTGTTTTGCTGTGCCCTCGGCTGGCGCGGCTGTCAGACTGAACTGATCAGAGCGTGCGGTGCGCTGATACTGTGCTGGCCGCTGGAGTTGCCTGGCACCCAGGGAATCTGCTGCGGATCTGGGTCTGAATGGCAGTTGCTGCGTCATCTCGTTCGCCAGCCAGGACTGTCCAGTGCTGAGTTCTGATTTTTTCGGCCAGCTGCGAGGTTGGCCAATGCATTTGCCTTGATAGGTGCTGGACTACTTGCTGATTCCTCTTCCGCTTGTGCGAGCTGCCACCAGTTTTGGTGGTTCTACATCTCCATCCGCCGCTCCATCTGCCATTCTTTTCCTTCTCATACACGACATCGCCTGCTGACACGAATATCTGCCGTGTGTAATGGGTCGTAGAGCGATAGCTCTTGTTTTCTTTCCTCTTCTACCCCAATTATACACCGATTTCGGTCGTCGAGTTTCTTGTGTTGGAAGACGCAATTTCACAGGCGCCACACCGAAAACTCTCAAGTGTTCGATTGGTGGGCGTTTCTTACCAAACCAATGCACTTCGGTAGCGTTTTGTTTCTGTGTGGTCGGTGCAACGCCTTTGCGTTGGTTGTCGGTGAGGATGTACACCTGCTTGGGTGTCTAACGCTTCGCGTACCACCATAGTTCCTAGGCATATGCATGTCTTAAGTAGGGCTTCTCGCCATGGTCATTCACCGTGCGTTACCCTGCTCCACTACACCGTTTGCTGCGGCGTGTTACGGTAGGCAGTGGAGATGACGCTTGATGCCGTAGTCTTCACAAAATTTGGGTGAATCCTTTGACAAGAACATCGCCACACGATCCGTCCTTAATGTCTTCACCTTGTGGGTCACATGGATTTCTCACCTCTGTTTCTGAACTTCTTGAAGGTTTCCACAAGTTGACCTCTGGCTTCAACATGTATACCCAATTCATCGCCCTGAAATCATCCAACAAATAAGAAGGAAAGTAGCTGCTACCGCAAGTGCTGATGTGGTGATAGGCACCACATAGGTAGCATGTACTAATTCCACAGCCTTCTGAGCTTCTGAAGTTGCTGCGAAGGGGAACGCCAGCTTGCTTGCTTTGGCGACACAAGGCATCCTTCGCCTCAGTTGATTCCGGGGTGCAGATCTTCGGCAATCGGAAGCATCCTCTTATCAGTCATCATCTTAGAGGCGAAGAAGAAATTTGCATGCTCCAAGCGAGCATGCATAACCAAGTGCTGGATCTGTAATCGTTCGCCATCAAACACGCCGTGCTTGCAAGTCTTTAAACTCTATCGTGTACACTCGGTTAGTTTCGAATCGTGTCACCCTCATCGAAAGAGCACCGTTCCTATCAAACACCCTCATCAATCTCGTCGCTAGCAACAACTAACCTTACTCCCATCTGCAGTTCATTGGACCAAGGCCTATAAGGTAGATTTTCAAACTTGAATTAAATATGACCTCAGGTAGTAGCTTTGATCGCCGTTGCTTGGCACTGAAGAGGATAGAGCCTTTCCCCTTGTCTCTCTACCGCGGATCCATCACCAAACTTGACGGTTCCCTTGATGTTCTCGTCGAGCTCCTTGAACTTGTTTCGGTGGCCGGTCATGTGGTTGCTAGCTCCGTTGTCGAGGTACCAAACGTCGTTGGCAACTTGTGCCTCCCCCGCTGTAAGTAAATCCGGCACCACCTTCTCTTCATTAAGCAAAATAGCACTTGACGATTCTTCTAACATAGCCATCATCAAGGTTGGCTCCTCGTCATATGCACGGGTGAGATGAGCCTCCTGTTCGTGGTTGCGGCGTTGCTTGTGACACTCCGACTGAAAGTGCCCGTATACTCCGCAATTGAAGCATTTGATGTTGGATTTGTCTCGACCACCGCTTGTGCTACTCTCCCCCTCCTGGCGAGCTGCACCTCCATGGCCGAAACCACCTCCTGGACGTCCTCCTCTGCCGCCGAAGCCGCCTCGGCCTGCCTGGCCGCCGTGCTCCCCTCCGCGGCCTCCGTGGTACTGCTGTCCGCTGCCGTGGTACTGCTGTCCGCTGCCGTGGTACTGCTGTCCGCTGCCGTGGTACTGCTGTCCGCCTCGGCCTCTTTGGCCACGGCCACGCCCACGACCGGCCCCGCGACCTCGTCCTCGACCGCTGCCATCATTGGTTGTAGGTGTTGAGAGGAAGCCTCCGCCGTTCTTCTTGCTCCTTGCTTGCCACTCCGCATGCGTCAACAATAGGTGATCGTCGACGTTGTTTCGAAAAACACGTGCCCTCTCCTCGTGGGCTTTGAGACGCCCGATCGCCTCCTCGAGTGTCATGTCGTCGATGTCCCCGAACTGTTCAATCGTGGAGACGATAGTAAGGAATCTCTCCGGTACCGCCCGAAGTAGCTTTCTGACGACGTAGTTCTCCTCCATCTCGCCGCCTAAAGCCCGGATCTTGTTGACGACTCCTGTCAACTTCGTCGAAAAATCGTCGACGTTGTCATTCTCCTTCATCCGGAGAAGTTCGAACTCGGACTTCAAGGTCTGCACCTTCGCGTTCCTCACACGATCTGCTCCTAGGTGCATAGTTTTCAACGTCTCCCATGCCTCTTTTGCCGTTTGCTTCTCTGCGATCACCATCAAAGTCTCTTCAGGAATCCCCTGGTAGATGGCCACCAACGCCATCTGATCCTTCCTGTGTTCCACGGACGCGCCTGCCGCGGGCTCAATGGCATCTCACACGTCTTGAGCCTTCATGTAGACTTTCATCTTGATCGCCCACGAAGCATAGTTGTCCCTCGATAACGTCGGGTATTGAAGAGTGAGCGAACCCACCTTGGTCGTCATCTTCTCCGTACTCGTCATCTCTTCAGATCTTGGTTGATACTTAGGCATACACCGGCTCTGATACCACTTGTTGGCTTTCAATAGGATCGGCCTAAGCTTCTTAATTTGCAAACACAAAAGAGATAATGGCTTCAAGTGGCCGAATCTTGATGGTAGTGTGACTGCAGGAATTAAATAAGCACAACCTTCCTTTGTATTTGGCCGAAAGAACAAAAACAGAGCCTGCGTTGAAGAAGGTGTTGCTGCAGGAAAAAGACAGAGACTACTTTTATATTTGGCCGGAAAACAGAGAGGGAAGAAGAGGAGTTCGGAAGTTTTTTTCTGGAGTTTTATTCACACACTTCTAAACTCAACAATTGTTTACATATATATATAGGATTAAGATTACAACTCTAATCTTATCCAATAACTAGAAAACTATCTACTAACTAGTATTCTACTCTAATTAGAATTCTACTAACTAACAATCCTTGGACTGATTACAACTCACATCCACCTCATAAAAAAAATCTACTTCACGCGGATGAAAAAGATATATATTTTTTTGCTAGATACAACGAGAAAGAGAGTTTCATTTTAATTTCACAGATTTAAGAACACCGTCTTGATGCCAGTCCTCTCAGTAATGTACGTGTTTGAGTATTAGCACTCTACCATGGATCCAC